GCCCCCGCCCCCGCCCAGGCAGACTCAGGCAGTCAGTGCAGAGACCACAGGAAAGGGATGGGCTGGTTATTGAGATACGTGAGCTGAGAAACTGGTCTCAGGCTGACCTTGGCCCGGCCCCTAATCATAGTAGCCGGTTTTAGGAGTACTTTGTAAAAGAAAGCTGGACGTTTGGGGTGAACCAAGGGGCAGTTACAAAAGTGCTAGGTTTACAAAGCAGAGTGACTGCATCCTGGCTTGTGAAGTGTGTTGGGCACTGGGGTGTGTGGGGGAAAGGGAGCACCATGGCCACCTCTGCACAGGGAGCTCTGCCCTTCATAAAAGGGCAAAGGGCTTTAGGTGGCTCTGAGGGTGTGAAGTCATAGGAAGGTCACAGGAAGCAGTGTTCAAGGTGGCCTTCAAGCATTCAGGGGCCCTCTGTGGTGGCTGGCCTCAAGAAGTGGTAACACCAAGGGGCCTTATGGTTCCCTCTGGCATCCTTTCTGACCATCCCTCTGCATGCTTGGCACTACGCCTGGGGCAGGGACAGAGAGCTGACAAGCTCCCGTGTACCTGGAATTGCCCTTCAGTTGGGGCACAGCTCTTGGCTGTGCACAAGGCTAAACTGAGTCTACTTGAGATGGATGATCACCATGAGGTCTTGTTCGGGGCAGGGAAGGGCTCACAAGATGCACATCCCTGCCTCCCAGGGCACGCTCACTCCAGCTCCCTGGTCCTCTGGGATGGTCCACCTGTACCACTCCGTGTTCTGCCTCTGGTTTGCCAGGCAGATGGCTGCACTCGCTGGAGAGGCGTGCACGGTGTGCTCGATGCACCACCTGTCACTCCACCAGTGCTGGGAGCTCAGTGTGAGGGCTCCCCCTTCCTGCCTGCCTCCCAGGTCTCTGCTCGTGCTGTTTCCGGTGCCCATGGTACCCTGCTTAGCTCTGTCACGACCCAACCTAAGCTTCAAGGCCCAACTTGGCCGTCCATCAAGCCCTTTGTGAGAATTGAGCTTGCTTTCCCCAAGTTCCCACAGCGCATTTTGTGATCCTCTAAGCCTTTTCCAGATTGAACTTATTTGTGGCTGTTTGCATCCTCAGGGCTCACACCAAGTGCTCCAGACAGGCCTGCTGAATTGTACTCTTGAGATGCTCCCTGCACGGCGGTGCATCACGATTATATCCTGAAGGAGCAAGCTTTTACGGAGTTCCTAGGCCTAGCTAGGAATTTTCACAGCCACCAGCTCATGTAAATCTCGTAACACTGGAAGGTGGGGTTGTTACCCCAGGAGGAAACAAATCAGAGTGGCTCGGTGACTGGTCCCAGCTCACACAGCAAGTGATGGAGCCAGAATTCAGATTCAGGTCAGCTTGTTTCCAAGGCCAGGGTTTTTTTCCCCCTTATAAGCAGACACAAAAGAGCAACACCATTTATCATGTAGAATGTATTCTCACATACATTATTTCATTCGATCCTCACAACAGCCCTGTGAGGTAGGTAGGGTTATGTATTACTGTTATGCCCATTTCACAGACGAAGAAATGGAGGTGGCTCAGTGAGGTGAGTGACTTGCACAAAGTCACACAGCACATTAGTGGCTTCACAGATCCTTTACTTTCTCTAACGTCAAGCTGCGTGAATTAAGAAGCACCGAAAAGATGGAGAGAGGGACTTTTTATGGAGGAAGAAAGGGCAAGCGGTGATTTACAAGATTTCTTCCTTAAACTGTTTTGTTGTGGTCACAGCTTCTGCTGTCTGTTCTGACCCAGGTTCTCCTGAGTGACCTTCTCGAGTACCATTGGCCTGGTGGCCTGGGACAGTTGTCAGAGACTCCTGGGTCCCACTGTAGGGGGAAAAGGCCTTTATTCCCTAGCAGAGGTGGCCTTGCCCATGGCCCAGCATACCGGCTCCCTACTCCCAGGCTCTAACTACGGGAAGCCCCTTCCTCAGCCCATCTCCTGTGGGGGACTGTGTCACTAGGCTTCCCTGGTTTTGTCTGAGGGCCCCTGCCCAATGGGGAAGATTGTGGGACTTCTAAGGCCACACTCCAGGGATGAATCATAATGGGCAGTTTTGAGGCCTGCACTATTCATCACCTCCTGGGGAGTGGGGCTTGGTGTGTCTTGCCCTAGACCTTCCCCCAACAAGGTCCACGGGCTGGTTATGACCAGAAACAGGACCACAGGGGAAGGTCACTTCTTACAGAGCAGTGTTGAAGGGGCTGGACACTTCCTCCAAGAGCAGGGCTATGGTTCAGCCCACTCCTGGGCTCCTTGCTACACACTGCCCTGCGAGCCCCTGGTCTCCTTCCTCTGGCAACACTTTTTTGGGGTGGTAAATCTGCATCCTCCAACAGGAGGTGGTCAAAAGTTACGCGGAGCCACGGCTGGTGAGAAGGCGGGTGGAATGGGGGTGACAAACAAAACTATCACAAAATGGGGCTGACTTACAAGGGATGGCCGGGGGCTGACCTTGGTTCTGAAGACAAATCCCAGGGGGAATCCTAATGCCAAGTAAAATATTGTTAGGATAAGTGTCTGGCTTCTTAATAAGGGTGACTATTTCGAAAGAGAAAATACACATTTGGGTGCGAAGGAGGGTCTAGAACCAAGACTAGAAAATGGGAGTCAAAGGATAGATTTTGGTTTCTATGTAAGGAAGGACTTTTTAACAGCCAGCACTGGCCAACCATGGCAGGGACTGCCCCGGGCATGACGAACTTCCTGTTGCTGGAAGTATGCAAGCAGGGATATGTGATCACTGGAAGGTGCTAGGGAGAGGCACTCAGCCCCAAATGGGCTGGGTTGTGCTGCAGGCCGGGGAGGACGAAGCGACCATTGGATTATTTTCCAACCCTGAGAGTCCATAATATTATTTTTTTAAAATGACCTGTTTCGATGATACTTCAAATTCTTGTGGGAAAGGAATACAAAAGTCACATAGCAGTCCACATTATGAAATGCCTTTCATTGCACTGGCTCCAGATACTTCAAAATCTTCACAGGGACAGCAGCTCATTTCTGAAATGAGAAATCCCCAAATGTCTACCCAGTCAAGAGGGATATCGCCATCTTCTGAACCCTGCCTGGACACTCACCCGTCTAGGCCATGCCACAGCTCAAATCTCTCCCCGCCACAGTGGGGGCCAAAAACGCAGCTCCTACTGCACTTCCAAGCCGGCCAAACATGGCTGCCCCTGGGCGAACAAGTCCAAGGTTCCGGGCACATCCTCGGGACAGAGGAGCAGGTGAGGTGGGACTCTTCTGGTGACTTTACGTCCTGGGGAACTGAAGGGGGCGTCCTTTCTCAGAGGGCTCAGGGAGGCACTGCCTAGTGGTACAGAGAGAGCTGGTGCCTGTGAAGAACCCACCATTCCTCTGTAGCCAGCAAGCCCTCCTGTGGCCTTTCGGACACACTGGCAGACACTTCGCTTGTCATGACAAACAGCGACAAACAGCCCATCTCTAGCTCAAAGTGGCAAGGAAAAAGGTGGCTCCGCTGAGAGGACACATGGATTCCTATAGGGAGACTGCATTGTGGGGGGAATCAAGTCCTGCTACGTGATTAATACAGATTAGTGTAGCGCCCTGCCTCCCACCACTGGCGAGGCACTCTCCAAGATCTTGGCTGACATGGAGCTTCTTGGGAGCACCCCCCTCCAGTGCTGCTGGGGTCCTTTTACCTGTACCGTATTAATCGAATAATCTTATTGTTCATAAAATCCACGGCGTGTGGGTGAGAAGAATCGATGCAGAAGCCATCACTCAGAGCGATTTTCAGCACCTCTTCCACAAAGACCTGGAAGCTGTTGATCTGCTTGTTGGCTGGCACCACCCAGAGCCTCTTGAGGTTCTGCTTGGTGTACTCCTCCTCTGGCAGGCCCTCCACATTGGCCACCCAGTCCAGAGTCAGGTGGTTGGGGTCCTGCAGGTGGCTGGTGATGGAGGAGAGATTGCCATTGGAGCAGTAGAAGAGCTTGGAGCCCAGGAGCTTGAGGAAGAGGCAAGAGGTACTGAAGATGTTGGCGTTGAAGACCTCCATGCTGGAGGAGGAGAGGCTGTAGATCTGAGGTGCCTCCCGCACGGTGAAGTGGACTGTCTGCACACGCTGGTTCAGGGTGATGTTGAGCATGGCATTCTTCTCGGCCTTGGAGAGCTCCACCTCCTTCTCCTGCAGTGCCTCAATCAGGGGCTGCACCTGGTAGAAGTCAGCCTCCCTTCGGAGCAGGCCCATCTCCTGGAAGTCCTCCGGCAAGTCCAAGTGGGAGGTCCGCAGGAAGTTGAGGATGTAGCGGAACACTTTGCCATCACGGTCGATGAAGCAGTTACCCTGGCTGTCCCTCTTGGTGGGCATCTTCCCACTGAACATGGCGCCCAGCATGGAGTCAGGGAAGCTGGTCAAGGTTGCCAGTGAGGTCGTGTAGAGCTTCCCCCCGACGTTCAGTGTGATGGGGTCTGACATGGCAGGAGGCTAGGCTGCTGGAAAGTAGTCCTGGGCAGGGAGAAAAGTGAGAAATTATCCAACCCTATCTGGGGTCTTAGTCTGTTGGGGCTGGTATAAAAGAATACCATAGACCAGTTGGCTTAAGCATTTATCTCTCACAGTTCTGGAGGCTGGAAAGCCCAAGATTAAGGTGTAGGCAGATTTGGTGTCTGGGAAGGGCCATCTTCTTGCGGTGTCCTCATGTAAGAGAAGGGGCAAGAGAGCTCTATGGAGTCTCTTTTATAAAGGCACTAATGCTGTTCATGAGGGCTCAACCCTCATAGCCTAATCACCTCCCAAAGGTCCTACCTCCTCATACCATCACACTGGAGATGAGGATTTCAACATAGGAGCTTGGGGGGACACAAGCATTCAGTCCCTAACATCTATGTATGCATAGTTCTCAACTCCTTATTGTAGATCAAGCCTGCAGTCCTAGAGGTTGGAACGAATTAATACTTGATGAACAAATGGATGGTTGATAATTACCACACTATCTAAAGCATATTAGGTTAACTAGGGAGTTAAAAAAGAAAATGAAAAAACAAAGCATGGGTCCTACCCTCCAGAGATTGTTGTAATTGGTCTTTAATATCCCAGCATTGGTATTTGTCTAAAAGCACCCTTGGTGATTCTAAATGTTCAGTTAAGACCAGAGAACCACTGTTCTCAGGAATGAAAGAAAATGTGCTTGGACTGGATGCTCTGTTACCTGCTTGTACACACATTTGTTTACATAACGGTCATACATCTTTTGACACAGATAATATCACCATCCGTCCCTATCGTGCAGATGAGGAACACTGCCAGGATTCACTCCCCATGCTGAGACGTGAAGGGCCATGCCAGGATTCAAACCCAGGTCCCTTTATATGAGAGAGAAAAATATGTAAATGCTTACTAGCCAAACACTGGTACATTCTAAGTACCTAGCAGATGCTCTGAGATTTATGTCTTCAAGCCCAGCACTCCTACTGCTGTACCAATGAGGCCTTATTATTTTTCTATCCCAATGCATTTATAATGACTAGTCATGCTTAGTGCCATTTCCATCTATCTCCCAGGCTTACAATAGGCCACTCAGCCCTCTGGACTCTGACACCCTTTCTTGGACTCTCATCCTCCTGTAACCTTGCTATGAAGATGCTCTTGGCTCCTGGTGGCCTGCCCTTTCCCATCACGATGGCACCTTAGTTTCCTCTGAAACCTTTACGTTTCAGTGCAAATGTGGGGCTCTGCACTGAGCACCCTTTACCAGATCTTTAACAAAGCTTCCAGCATCTAAGGCTGGTGAGTCTCCTTCAACCTGAAGTCTTGGAGTCTAACTTTTCTTTAAGGTTCTAGAAAGTAGGGGATGTCCCCTCTTAGCTTCCCACATGATCCCACCTGTGGAACAGATTAAGCAATCCTTCCCTGATGCTGGGCCCGAGGGGCACAGAGAAGAAATGGCCCCTGGCTGCCCTCGAGAAGAGCCCAGCTGGCGAGGACACCCAGACAAGAGGTAGTGAGGGTGCAGTGACAAGGGGGATGGAATGGGAGTAGGTCAGGAATGAATCCTGGCATGCTTACTGTCCAGATGGGAAAACAGAGGTCTGAGGCAGGACTTCCCCCAAAGTGAGCAGGCCAGAGCACTTCTCACCCTCACTATGCCTGCCTTCTGAGGCTGGCTGCACCAAGACCCCTTTACTCCAGAGGATGGAGATTCTTGCCAGAAGATGGAAGCCATGCTGGTGGATAGAGCTGCCCCACCCAACTGTCTGGGGAGTCGCTTCATGATTCCGTCCCCATCTCATGGGGCATCTTGATATTGCAGAAAGGCATTAACCACTTGGAGTGTCTGAAGAGAAACAAGCCATGATGAAGTTGCAAAATCGGCAGCAGGAGCCTGGAGCAGATGGGCTGCGAGACAGTGGGGAAATCCAACACAAGGGGTGGGGCGAGGGGCTGGGGGAGGGGTGCCTGCGGTGTGGAGACCTGCAGCTGGGGGGAGGTGCTTTGGCTCAGAGCAGGAGCTGAGTCTTGTCAGTTCTCTCTCCAGAGGGCCCAGTTAGGATATGGACCCAGGAGCCAGGGCCACCCCCTTCCTCATTCCAGAATCTCCCTTTCTTTCTAGAAGGTAATTTGCATATTTTAATTTTCAGTCTCTCTTTCTCCTTGATTTAAGGCCCAGGCTCTGTGAAGTGGCTCAGTTCCAGGGAAAGAGCAGACTCAGGCATCAGAGAGGCTGGGCTGTCTTTCCTGATGGTTCTGTGGTCCACAGATGCCGTATCTCCTCTGTACATTAGTGCTGAAGAGTGCAGAGCACTGGGGGTGGGGAGACAGGAGCCACAGGGCATATCTGGGGGTTCTTGGGTGGGTACCCAAACTCCTCTTTCTCTGCTTGCAAAAGCAGCAGAGCGCCTGCCGTCCTGCCCCTGCCCCCCAGCCGTGTAGCTCCCTGTCGTCATCTGGGGAGAGGGCTGCGCCGGCCAATGCTTAGATGCCAGGTTCCTGACCACCCCTGCCCCCAGTCTAGGGTGCTCTCTGTGGTATTCTCCCCATGCCCACAAGTCACAGAGCTCCTTCAAGCGCCTATTTTCTAGGGGCAGCACCACTGCGTCCACCATCACACATGCAAAGGCCCCGGGGTAGAAGGCACCATTACACGTGAAGAGAGTAACTGGCCACCTCTGGGGCGCTCAGCTTCGTGAGTCTGCTTCGTGGTCAGCTGGGGATGAACCATCCTCACTGAGCTACAGCCCGCTGGGTGCACTCAGCGGTCTCCTGGACATGTCCACCTGGATGTCCCATGGGTACCAGAAGGCCTAACGCAGAATTCCTCTTCCCCCAGACCCACAGTGAACTCTTCCCGGCCACCCAACTACCTGAGCCCAAGACCTGGGAGGCAGCTCTGACTCCTCATCCCTAAAAATTTTCTTACTCTGTCTCCTCAAACCCATCCCTAAAGCTACTCCCAGAGCTCTGACCACACCGCCACCTTCCTTCCATCCTCATTTGGTGCCCTGCCTTCTTTCTGTCCACCTTCCATTTTGGTTTTTGTGAAGTACTACTGACTGCCCACACCACCTTCCCCTTCCAAGCTCACCTCCAGCCCCTCCCCCACTCTATGCTCAGGCACTCCAGACACCCCTGCGCACATCCTCACACTGTCACCTGCCCCGCCTTTGCTCTCCCTACACCACCTTCTCTGCTGTCAACTTTTAAGGCTCCACCTAGGAGTCACTGCCTCTGTAAGGCTGTCCCCAGATCTCAACTAGTTTAACAGCTCTCCTCTTGGGGCTTGCTGGCCCTTTGCACAGTCCCCCTGGCAGTGCCCACCAATCTATCATGTTATGATCATGGCCCTCCTCCCTGGCTTTATCAAGATGCAGATCACTGGACATCCACATGCAAAAAAAGAACCTCAACCCGTATCTTGGACCATGTAGGAAAAATTAACTCCAAACAGATCATAGGCCTAAATGTAAAATCTTTAGAAAACTTTAAAACTTCCAGGAGAAAACCTTTGTGACTTTGGGTTAGGCAAAGATTTCTTGGCTGGGACCCAAAAGGCACAAACCATTAAAAAAAAAAAAAAAAATGACAAACAAGACTTCATCCAAAGGAAAAATTTCATTTCAAAAAACACTGTTAAGAAAATGAAAATAAGACAAACTGGGAGAAAATATTTGCAGAACACAGATCTAATAGAGGACTGTTAACCAGAATATATAAAGAACTCTCAAAACTCGGAAGAAAACACACAACCCAATGAAAAAAATGGGCAGACGATCTGAACAAACACTTCACCAAAGAAGACATATAGACAAATAATCACATGAAAAATGCTCAAAAGCAATAGTCATGAGGGACACGAAAATTAAAACCACAAATAGATACCATGATATGCCTATTAAAATGGCTACAATAAAAAATCTGACAACGCCAAATGCTGCTGACTTCACAGAGCAATGGACACACGCACGCGTTGCTGGTGAAAAGGCGACGTGGTACAACCACTGTGGAAGCCAATTTGGCATTCGGTTTCCACATGACCCAGCAATCCCACTCCTAGTTATGTGCCCAGAGAAATGAAGATGTACGTCCATGCAAAACCGTCCCTGGGTAATTCTAGCAGCTTTATTCATAATTGCCCAAACCTGGAAATGGAAATGGTAAACAAACTGTGGTACAACCATATGATGGAATGTCTCAGCAATACAAAGGGACTCGCTCCTGACATACACCGCAACTGAGGAGTCTCAGAAGTTTCATGAAGTAAAAGAAGCCAGCCTCAAAAGGTTACATGGTAGGTGATCCTATTTACATAACATTCTGAAAAAGGCAAGACTGTAGAGACAGAAATCAGAGCTGTGATTGCTTGGGCCTGGACTGGGGAAGAGACTGGCTACAAAGAGGCAAGAGGGAATATTTTGGAGTGATGGAAACAGTCTAGGTCTTGATGTGGGCGTAGTCAAGTGACTGTTAAAGGTTCTAAAAATTCATGTAACTGTAGACCTCAAAAGGGTGAATTTTACTATATGTAAATGAATTCATAAACTGGAAAAAGAATCAAGAGCGTATTTATGTCATGAAATCTATACAGTGGGTTGTGACCAGCTACATATATTGTTGGGAAACTTTTGTTTCAGTTTGTTGGTGTATGAACTGGATCGTGATATAAAGTAAAGTATATTTTCATACTGGGGGTTGTGATAAAAAATATTTTTGAAAACCACTGCCTAGGTTGTGATCTCCTTGAGAGCAATGACACATCTCATGTCCCTGCAGGGGCACTGCCTAGCACACAGTGGGTGCTGGTGACATGGGGATTGGGGGGGGGCAGGCAGCAGGGAGGGGCTGGGACAGGGTAGGAATGAACATTTACTGAGTGTTTTACTCCATCCAAGGCCTTTACACTCACCAGCTTCTTATAGCAACCCTAAAAGTAAGCATCATTTTCCATTTGGCAAGTAGGAAGTGGGACTCAAAGAGACTGGTGACTTGCTCAGGACACACAGCCAGCTAGCGGAGAGCCCATCCTTGGCCCATTCAGGCTGCAAAGAGTTGTAATAGTGACAAAAGGCTGTAATAGCTTCAAACAAGTTTGAGAATCTCCAAAGCAGCCTTAGAAACACTGCCCTGAGGCTTGCTTGGCAAGATAGCTACCACTTACTCAGTGCACACCTCCTGCTCTCACTACGTGAGGAGCTTCATGTAACACTTGGTAGTATTTTATTTACTTGTAATAAAAATATATAGAAAAGTACAGATGATGATACCATTGTGCTAAATGCTGGACATGCATTCTCTCATTCGATGTCTTCACAAGCACCCTATGAGATAAGAGACTATTATTACCTCCATTCGACAGACGAGGAAACCGAGGTTCAGAAAGTTTAAAAGTCAGTGGAGGACCTGGGATCCAAATCCAGTTCTGTGTGGGTCCAACACCTCTGATCATTCCTCCTTCCCGTCACCGGGTCTCAACGTGAGTAAGAGACGCCCACTCCCTTGTTCTCAGTCCAGACCAGTCAGTAGGTGGTCTTGGATGGCTACTCCGCTGCCAGCCTGCACTCTGCCCACTCCCATCGAAGGACGTGGGGACAGGACCCAAGGATGACCTAGAGCGCCTCCATGGCTGACACAGGGCAGGTCCACTGAGAGGCCGAAGCCCTTCTATTTCAATAGCAGCGGACGATGTCTAATGATCAAACATGAGAACACAAAAGCCAGGTTTTTCTTTTTTTTTAAAGCCAGGTTTTTCAAAGCCAGATTAGAATAGATGGATGAGAGGGGCGCCTGGGTGGCTCAGTTGGTTGAGCGACTGCCTTCGGCTCAGGTCATGATCCTGGAGTCCC